ACCGCAATGATCGCAATTTGATCTGTAATGCCAATGCAGTCGGCCAAGCAAGCTCTTCCTACCGATATCCGTATAACAATACAAGTTGTCAACTGCGTTATTTGAAGTTGGCTGATTTCAATGGGAGGTCAGGATCATTTTAGTCGTGCTATTTTTTGGGAAATTATCGTCTTACATTGGTTTGAGCATTATAGCTTATATGGATCACTAAATTATCCAAAGTTAAATAAGGTATCCGTAACTTAAGTCATTACTTCTGGATGTATTTAAACAACTTCAGTTCAATTTTTAAAGATATTTTATTTATTAAAAGTCGGGTCATAACCGCTAATAAGTCTGAAGCAGTGAACTCGATTCCTGTGTTTTTCTCAGAAATATTTTAGAATATTCCTTCACAACATTCTACTTTCCTTCAAAATCTAAATTATATAAGCATAAAAGACTTAGAAGATGTAAGCGCTTCTGAGCTGAGCGCTTAATTGCACAGAATTAATAAACGGGATGAAATAAATATCAACAGTGAAACCAGTTTTGTAAATCAAGGTAAGAGTTGAGGCGAACTAGTGATGTACTAAACGACCAAAGAGGGACAGAATGTAAACATGTACAAATAAGCAGGAAACGTAGTGCTCAAAGGTCACCTTTGTAATGGCAAATTTTAAAATTGAAATATTCGTTTTCAGCGACATTCACTAATTGGCATAATCAAGCACATTTGATACATGAAAAGAGTCATATATACACAAAATAGATAACCTTAAGAGCAGTAGCATTGTTTGGGCAAAGTAAAGTAAGCCAAGGTCACCAAGTAAGGCTGCTGATTTCGCGGTCTTTGTTCCTTCCTGGCCAGTTGACAATTACGACGAGGTATGAAAGAGTAGGCACAAATAGAGAGGGAGGGGGAGAGAGACTCGCTCACATTCGAATCGGAGGGCGCAAGTTCTGTCAATTGCATGCAATTGAATCTCAAAAAGTCGAAAAATATAAGTATCTCTCATGGAACCAAATGTATACGCGTGACTGACTTTGGAATCGCCAGATCGTCATCCAAACCCTTTCTAATTTAAAAAAGCATTAGAAACGCATATGAAGAATCTGTGGCAAACACAACATTGCCATGGCCGAAGCAAAGAGGCGCTTACGAACTCAAGCATTCTGCAAGTGAAATGTCAATCCCACTAGGGAGTAGAATGAGGTCACGTGTGCAGTGACTTCTTGACCAATCAATTCACACGGACCAAATAAACGTATTCCCCACCATACCAATGTCTCCACTATTCCGAAGTGGTGAGGTAGTCGGTAGCCAATCTTAGGAGTCATTCCGAATGAGAAGAACTAGCCAAAGAGATTATGGAAGAACAACCAAGGCTTATTAGTGTAGGAATTCAGTACAAACCACAGTGAAAGTCAAACATTCTCTGTCATCAATAGACCCAACTCTCATGGCATTGAGACACTGCAAAATAAGTTCAATTGATGCATGTGCAGAAAAGGACCCGAGTCTTAATGAAGAAAGCCAAGTTAATTGAGTTGTTTAAACGAAGTGTGTGTGTAGCCTCGCTATTGGTGATAGGTGAAAATGAAAGGAGAGACATCGAGTAATTTACTTACTTGAACCTGCATTAAGACGAATTTCATTTCTATGGAAAGAGATGAAATGAAAGGTTTGTATGCACAAAGGATGTTATTGGGGGAAGGTGAGGGGGGTGGGGTGGAATGAAATTATTGAATTAATCTAAGGAAGATGACGCAAGCAGTTCGTTTATGAAGATTGAAGTGAGCTAGAACGCCATTAAAACACGCCTTAACGATACTAAAATAGGTAAGTAGAAAATCAATACTCGAAAGGTTCTCTTAGTTGCACGAACATTAATTGCATGGCATTGACTGTAGTTGACTGCACTTTCAACTCCGTATCAACCTTGAGCATGGTTGGCATTAAATCGAAATTTCTTCACTGAAGCAATTTGAGCACCACCCTCGATGCCGTAGGTCACTAGTAATCTTGCTCAAGTTGGAAAGGGAGGAGATATTTCATGTTGTCACTAAGGGAATGAAGAAATGTGTGTGTGTGATAAATATAGACATGTCATTCACGCTGAAAGTGAAGAGAGAAATGCAACTTGGGAGACAGTGATATATATGCAGTGGCCTGGATGGAGAGGTAATTGGTAAAAATAGAAGTGAAAACAAAGAGGCTGCATGTCACTTGAAGAGGAGAAAAGGGNCTTCACTGAAGCAATTTGAGCACCACCCTCGATGCCGTAGGTCACTAGTAATCTTGCTCAATTTGGAAAGGGAGGAGATATTTCATGTTGTCACTAGGGGAATGAAAAAATGTGCGTGTGTGTGTGTGTGTGATAAATATAGACATGTCATTCACACTGAAAGTGAAGAGAGAAATGCAACTTGGGAGACAGTGATATATATGCAGTAGCCTGGATGGAGAGGTAATTGGTAAAAATAGAAGTGAAAACAAAGAGGCTGCATGTCACTTGAAGAGGAGAAAAGGGAGTATGACGAGGTGAAGACTGTGTCCAATCAGAAGACAAGGACCAGACAGAAATAGTTCACCCATATATAGTAGAAATAGGTGTGGTGGAAGTAAGTGCCTATTAGTTGAAGAGCTGTGGGTGAAGTAGGGGAGAATGATATTGGTGGAGTGTTTTGAGTGAATGAGGGATTGGTAGATGGACCGAGTAAAAGGAACTAGTGAAAGGGGGGGGGTGGAGGAAATGGTCACTTTGCTATAATGAGATCGTGTTTGAGCACATCTCAGTTCCCTACTTCCCAGTGGTTTTGCATATACTAAAGGCAGTTTGAGTGGGTGGTTGAAGGCGTTCTAGGTCGGCTGTCGATGATTGTGCATAATTAGATGATAATCACTAAGGCTAATTATTTCTTTTTACATAACAGGAGGATTATAATTTTTGAAGTGCATAATCTTATCTGGGCAATTAACCTCTTTATTTCATACAGGAATTATACATTAGTATTAAAATCACACATAGATTGTACTTAATTAAACTTGTCTCATGCCAAATCGGTTGGGTTTAAATAATAGGCTTAAATTAAGTACCAATCTGAATGTTTCCAGCAGTCTGTATTTAATGAGTACCCAAAAGTGGAGGTCCTTATATTTTATTAAATGAAATCTGCCATTGATATAAGTGAAAACTGGTCCCAACTTTTTTAAGTAAATCACATCAAGGCTCTTCCAAATTAGCAAACATGCTATCATTAGGAATATCACAGAACTTAGCTACTACATAACTCCATTCCGTAGAATATATTTTCGCACTCCTTATATAAGTTAACTCAACATTTTGCGAATAAATATATATGTATATACGGTTCCATGGAAATGACGTGGTAATACAACAATCACATATCGAAATCGCATTCACAGACACAGAGACTGAGCATTTAATCATTTAAATATCAGAATCGGATGCATTTTGTTAATAATATGCTAGGTAACAATAACAACAACAAGATCAACCAGAAAATGAATATGTTAATTAAAAACGCCCAAAAAATATTCATGTTTTTGTACTTTAAGAGTTCTTATGATTGCTCGAGATTAAAGTTTCTAACCTAAGAAATTTTCAACATTTGAACTGCGCAAAATTACATTGCTTTGACTCTATACAGCTCAAATGATCTGATTATATAGCCCTTTGAAACACATTCTGATATCATTTTGCATAAGTAGTCCTCATATATCCCGTTTGAAGAATTCGCTTTTCGCCCTTATTGCTCCATAGTCTGAAACCCATCCCTAACAGAATCACTAATTAGAGACATTTAGGTAATAATTATAAACACGCTTTATGTAAATACTTGTCGAATCTTAGTGGGATTGAAATACTGTCCAATCTACTGTAAAGCAAAAAACAAAATTTGAAATTACGATAAAAGAATAAATAAATACTGTAAATGAATATTCATTTTTCAATGTTCGGTAAATCTTAATGCATTTCGCCTTGGAATGTTTTGCAGCGCCAAGGTATTCTGATCGCATTAACCCAAAAGTTCATTAGTTGTAGAACAGATAAAAACAGCTCCGATCTTCGTCAATGTGCATATGGACTAGTAGTATTGAAACAGAAATGGTAATAGCCGTATCTAAGACACACGCTAAACAGCAGTCTAATGTTGCTTTAGGATTTAAGGTTCTTTTGTCACTATTATCTAATACATGAAAGTGATGAGCTAGGAAAATTATCACGCATCACGGGGAACCACAAGGCAACCATTAGGCCGTTGCAAATGGGAAAAACATAGAACTATAATCTCAGTCTCAAGGTCAATCAAAAAAGTAAAAAAGCAGGAGGCAAGCAGTTTTTCAAAAGACTATTAGCTGAAACCTACTGAAATTTTACGCAGAAAGTTAACATTAAAGTCATCCCTAAAAAATAAAATGCAAAAGAAATTTAAAAACAAAGGCATAAATTAATAAAGACAAATCATTGTAAAATAAATATGGTAAGTCAATTTTATCGGATATAATAGCAAATCACTAATATTGTTTAAGTGCACTTAATAAGCAGGAGTTTCAGATATTTCCATTTTCAGGTATATTAAGTTAGACGGTGAAATACTGATTATATTTACTTAAATTGCTGTGAAACCTTTCTAAATTTTTTAAAAAAATAATTATAAGATGATTTAGTTATTATTCTTTGTTTATAATGCATTTATTTGTGAGATATATGTGGGTCAATTTTAACCCTTTAAAATCATTTCATGCTTGGCAACCAGGCCCTTTTAAGGTTGATTTTTATTATTTTGAGGTGAATTAGGTAGGTTTTAAACTGTATATGCTTCTATTTTTATGGTACATGATATTCCATAAATGACTCCGATTTTGACTATTTATCTTCTTTGTGTATTTCATAGTATTATTTGTGCAATTTCTTCTTATTTTCTTGCTTCTTTTTAAACGCTTTTTGTAAAAAATTGTTTCTTTTTTATAGAATTTACTTTTACAAACTATTATGTCAGATATAGCTGATCCTGAACCACCTAACGAGGAGTCTCCATCAGCAGACAATCCCGATCCTCCCCCAAATGATTCAAAAAGTAAAGTTATTGACTACATTGTCAAACGTATCAATAATATTGAGCGTCACTATCATGAATTTCTCTCTGAGTTCACCTACCTCCAAAGTGGCGGCATTCTCAATGAATATGAATCATGGCGACGTAGTATGCCGCAAGATCTATTGTATGCCCTCTGTTCTGGCCATCTCGATGCTGACGATCTTAATAAAATCGGCTCCTTTATATCTGGCCAACTGCCCATGCATGAGATCTTCCCCGTTGCTATGGATAGTAGTCAGGCCGATGAACAGGATGCGGATGACTCTGATGAGGAATTTGACGTATGTTTTGCTCTCTGTTACCTTTGATACGTCTTTTCGCTTTCTCGTTTCTTATTTTTGTCTTATCTATAGAGGATAGTAGATGAGGCAGCAATTCCTGTATTAGTTCGAAAGGAAATGGAGACACTCAAACGTGTTGCCGAGTTCAAGAGATTGGGGATCTGGTCACGAGATTCTTCTGATCCCGTTCCCACACTCACAAACTTGGCTCCCTCTCAAGAGCCAGCTCGACCTAAAGATCACATGGATTTTCTTTTTGCTGAAATGCGTTGGCTCGCAGACGACTTTAAGAAGGAGAGACATTGGAAAAAAATGGCTGCTAAGAGGGTACATCTCTTCATTTAACCTAATTTATGCATAAATCCTTTCATCTCGAAATTATCATTTCTATCTCGTTTTTATCTTAGCTTGCTTACGCTGCTGCCAAAGTATTCAAGGAAAAGGCAGAGCGTTCACAGAAAGCAGAGAAAGAGGAAATTTTGCGAATAAGAAAGCAGTGCTCTTTGATTTCAAGAATGGTTCGAGATTGGTGGCGACAGATGGATAAGGTTCGTTATCGTTATTCGTGCATACTTTCACGCTTTTAACAACCCCACTAAATTAGGTGTATCAGATTTGGCCGTTGTAGTCGAATTGATTCATAGATTTTGGGATCAAATTTTGTACTCCCTCTCTCTTTTTTTGTTCGTTTACATTTAAAACATGATTTTATGTGGTTTTACAGACGTCCAGTTCGTCTCATAAATCAATGAATAGCAATCACTTTCATCCTAATTAATAAGCTTTCTATCAATAAACTATAATAAATCTTCAAGCTTACGACCGGTGATTCGTTAAAATAGAAGGATGGTTAATAGTTTCGATTTTTCTAGTTGAAGTGGCTGGTTCGTTTGATGCTTTATCCGTTCAAAAATCTGTCAGTTAAAAGACATAGTATAGCTCCCGGGGATATTGTTTCTTTTTATTCTGGCCAATCATAACAGCAGTGTTTAGTGTCCTTTCGTAATTTCTCTGCATTTAAGGTCATTCTGATGAAATGTCCTAATCCGTGTTGATTGACTCAGTCGTTAATTCTTTATGAAGTAGGCATTAACTACGTTTAGAGAAGAGGACTGATCTTTATAAGTATCAAAGTCTCTTCGGTTTATGTTTCTTTGTTTTGTAATTTGTGGCTCCTCTTCCCAGTTTTAGATCAATTGAGCTTATTTTACGAATTTCTTGCTAACCCTGTAGATCGTGCAAACGAAACAAAAAGCCCGTTTATCGGCCCGTCATCAACAGGCAATGTCTACGCATTTGGGTCATGTTATTGAGACCACTGAGAGGTACACAATGTGGCTCACAGAGGGTATCATTGGTTCAAAACAGAACGACCAAGACGCAGCCTCTAAGGACAAGGAGACTGTTAAGGAGGAGACTGCTGCCACTCCTGATGCTGCTGCTGCTGATTCTGATGCCGAATTCGTGGTGAGTGCATTGCTGGATATGTAGATATTACCTTTAGTTTATTTATAAGGCCTTGCTTTCTTGTAATCACGTATGGTAGTAACACAACTTGTTGACCCAATGGGGCTTTCGTCTGATCTTTGTTTGAAATGCTTGAGTGATTCGAATTTGTTTTTTTTTGGAAGTTCATTTTTAGTTAGCTGTCTATGAGAGCCATATGGTCAGTACTCTTCCCTTTCACAAAGTCAATAGCATCTCTCTTAATTATTCTTGAAGTTGGCATATTTTTCTAAATACGTGTTTTTATTGAGTTCTAGTATTTGTGACTATTTTAGAGGCTAATTTGGTTATAGCAGAGAGAGTTGGCTTCTGACTGTGTTCGGTATGTGCTCGGCTGTCAAATCAGAAATCGATATCCATGGAGTTAAAGTAATTGTAGTGATCATATTTAAGGAGAAATACTGAGCAATATGTTTTCTAAATCAGAATTCTAACGATTTAAGATGGTTGCTTGAAAATATTCTCCATAATGAAACATTTCCTTTTTAAGTTTTTTTCTAAACATCAGCTTAAATTTCTAATAAATGGGGGTAAGGAACGTACAAAGTGAAACCTTCATAAAAGTCAGAAAAGTGGCTTTAAGCATCTAACCTATTTCTCCTCCTGCTGTTGGATATGTTTCTTTGAAATCTCTGTTTGAAAATTGTATATCACCAATTGAATTTCGTTGTTAAAATAACGCTGATCATCATAATGTTGTAGCATACTCCTGAAAAAATTATTTATATCAAATGACAGTCATTATGATATTCATCATTAGCCCTTTAGTTGACTTCAGGCTTCACAGAGGGGAAGGAACATCAAAGCGAAAAAAGTCGAGAGGGAGGGGGNAAAAAAGGGGGGGGGGGGGGGGGGGGGGGTCAGAAGAGTGTCTCAAAGATGTAAAAGAGACAGACACAAAGGTGGAAAAAAGGTGAGGTGATTACTGTAGAAGTAGTCGAATATGACATACATTGAGATCATGGCAGTTTGAAGTCAGAAGTCAACTGCCAGTTAA